TTTGTCCACAAGCCTGTACTTTTGGCCTTTGACTTGACAGAAGATCCTTCAGTGGTGGGCAAATCGGGATGAAGCAGACACAGCGGTCCTGCCAAACTGTGGTCTTCCCAGAATGTTAGAAATCTCCAATTGGTCATTATTTTTAGAATTTTTCTATAACAGTGACAATCTAGTAGGCTATGGGCCTATGGTAATGACTTGCTCTTCCTGGGATGGTTATTGTCTCCAGAGACAATAGGGTTTGCAGAATCGGCCACATGGAGCCATGGTGAAGAGATCAGCTTCCAGGGTCTGGATCTTGGGTTCAAATCCTGCTTTGGCACTTGAAGCCACATAAACGCAGGGATATGAGTTATCCCCTTTGCCTGGAGAATGGGGAGTATTACTGGGTTGTTGTCAGAGTTAGCAGAGACGAGACGTGTCAAGTGCTAAGATTTGCACCTTGGCAAGGTAAGTGTTCAACGCAGATTCATTATTATTACATTATTAGGTAGAAAAGCTGTCATGTGAATGTTTCTATCCTTTTTATATACTTTGGCCTTTGACTTGGCAGAAGTCAAAGAAGCTTTTGCCCATTTAAAATACTCATTTCCTAAAAAAGTAAAATAAAATACTTGTTTCCTTATCATTTTGTTGTTGTCAGAGTTCCTTAAATATATACTGATTACTTGTCTGACATATGTATTGCAAATTCCTTCTCTCAGCTTGTAGCTGACCTTTCATTTCTATGAGCAGATGCTTTTCATTTTGAGGAAGTCCAATTAAGATCTTCTTGTTTGTGACCCCCGTAAGAGATTTTTGTCCCATCCAGGCTGTGAAGAGACCATCCTGTGTTTTTGGCAGGTGCTTCATGGCTGTACCTTCTATACTGAGGTCTCTCTTCCTTCTCAGCTGTGGGCACATGAAATTCCCTTTCCCGTTAGTAGCTGTTCCTGCAACTTTGGTTGAAAGACTTGGCTTTCCACATTCAACTGCTTCTGTGTCTTGTGGAAAATCAACTGACCGTGTGTGTGTGTGGTCTGTTCCTAGATTGTTTCATTCCATTGATTTGTCTGCCCTTATATCTTAAATTTACATCAGTTTTATAATCAGTCTTAAAATCAGGGACTGGAAGGTTGCCATCTTGTTCTTCTTCCAGATTGTTTGGCTACCTAAGTCCTTTGCTTTTCTATAAAAATTTTAGAATCGACCTGTAAAACTATTTTCTACAAAAATGTCCTACTGGCCTTTTGATGGAGATTGTGCTGAATCCACAGATCAGTAAAAGAGAAACTGAGATACCAATATTGTCAAGTTTTCCAGTTCCCGAACTTCTCTCCATCTGGTTAGGTCTTAAATTGCTCTCATCAATGTGTTGTAGTTTCTAAAGTTTTTAGTCTTATATGTCTTTTGCTAAATTTATTAGCATTTTATATTTTTATGTCATGGTAAATGGAGTTACTTTTTAAATTTCATTTTCTAATTGTTTATTCCTAATAAATTGGCACACAATTGATTTCTGGATATTCACCTTGATAAATTATTGGTTCAAACAGCTCTTTATTAGAGCCTTAGGACTTTCTCTAGCAATCATCTCTCTCAATTCTTTGTGTATATTATTTCCTTTTCTTGTCTTATGGCACTGACTATGATCTCAAGAAAAAAATGTTGAATAGAGATAGCAATAGGAGTCAATACCGATAAATTCTTGACCTTAGAAGAGGTAAAACTTGGAGTTTTACCTCTGACTATGATAAAAGCAGTAGGTTTTCCTTTTCTTCTTTTATAGATGTCCATCCCTTCCAGTCTTAATTTGCTGAAAGTTTTAAAATTTTTCTTTTACATTCATTTGTGGGTGCTACATTTTGTCAAATGATTTTTTTTGGTATCTATTTAGATTTCTTCTCCTTTATTCTATTAGTACGGCACATTACACTGATTGATTTCCTAATAATAAACCAACCATGCACTCTAGTAATAAATCCTACTTAGTCATCATGAATTATATCCTTTTTGTAAATTGTGGGGATAGATGTGCTACGAATTTATGCAACAATGTCTATGAGGGGTCCTGGACTATAATTTCCCCAAGCAGTTTGAGTCAGGTGCCTATCCTAGTGCCTGTGTTTGTTATGTCCAATTTCCTTTGCTCTGTTTCACCCTTTCAGCCCCCTTAATGGATGCTCTGTTGCTCAGGCTCTCTTTCCCTGTTCCATCTTCTGAGATCTACACACTCCTTGTTCTGTTTACCTGGCTGCAGCCTCTGATTGCTCTGACCTTTAATGATATGGGAGGAATCATCCCCACTCCCTGTCATCCCTCCCCATTCATATATTTGAAGTCCTAGCCTCTAGGACCTTAAAGTGTGATCTTATTTGGGATTAGGGCCTCATAGAGGTAGTTAGGTTAAAATGAGATCATTAGGATGGGGGCCTGATCCCAAATGGCTGTGTTCTCATGAAGAGGGACACAGAGACAGACATGGCCAGAGAGAAAATGATGTGTATAAGCCAAGGACCAAGGGCAGAAGCACATTCTTCCTTTACAGCTCTCTGAAGGAACCAACACCAGAACCATGACAAAATAAACTGTCACATAGCCACCTGGATTGGTGTATTTTGTTATGGTGGCCCTAGCAAAGGAGTTCACTTACACTTACTACCTAAGTATGATCTCATCTCAGTATTTGTTCTTTTTTTTGGGGGGGGGGAGGAGGGGTGGGTACCGGGGATTGAACTCAGGGGCACTCACCACTGAGCCTCATCCCCGGCCCGATTTTGTATTTTCTTTAGAGACAGGGTCTTTTGGGCTGGGGCTATAGCTCAGTGGCAGAGTGCTTGCCTCGCATGTGTGAGGCACTGGGTTCAATCCTCAGCACCACATAAAAATAAAATAAAAAATAGAGACAGGGTCTCACTGAGCTGATTCGTGCCTCTTTTTTTTTTTTTTTTTTTTCTTTTTTTGCTGAGGCTGGCTTTAGCTCAAGATCTTCCTGCCTCAGCTTCCTGAGTCACTGGGATTACAGGTGCATGCCACTGTGACTGACTCAGTAATTGTTCTTGATTCTGATTCTTGGCTTAGTTTTGTCTCTTAAGACCCCTGTATCCCTCAGGATGGTAAATGGGTAAAAATCAGAAGGTGTATGTCCTAATTTATCCTTGAAGTGGAATAACTCTTCTGATCCTCAGATTCTATTACTGTGCCTTCCCTAAAAGCTCAGTGGGGTGCAGTGTGTGAGAACATCCCCATCACATGCAAGTCAGGCATCCTGAGTCCTACACATTCAGAACAGCTGCTCTTCCTGCCTAAGAACAGAGCCCCCGTGAGAGGGTTCTGACAGATCCCAAGTTCAGAATTCCCCACTTCTGAGAGAGATCCCTGCCACCCCAGACTTCATTTCCGTCATTTCTGGTTCAAGAGGCAGAAGGAGAGGCAGGTGACCAAGGAGCCACTTGGCTCAGAGGGGGGCACGTGAGGTGATGTTCCAGACTTTACATCTCCAGAAAATTTAACAGTGATTCCTTGGACAACTTACCTACTTTTATACATGTTAGAAGAAATAAGTTTGGAGCAATGGAAAGAAATTCTTTTAGAGAATGAACACTTCAGAAACACACAAGGGAAAGAGAACTTTAACGACCCACCAAACTACATTAACAAAATTGGTGTCTACCGAAGGTGGCTTTAAACCATGTAAAATTAAATGTAGTTCTCTAGCAGCTTTCCAACATATTTTTTCTGTTCCTTTGTCTGTAAGATAATTTTGCTGCTGAGAATTAGGAAAATTGCTGTTTCTGTAATAACTAATGCTCTTATTCAACAATTTATAAAAATGTAACTCACTCCCAAATAGCTTACATTCTAATTGTACATTCTTATCCTGTCTAAGTGTTACTCAAAAAACTAAGTTTTTCAGTAATTCCTCTCTTTTCAGTTCTCTAGAATGCCTCCAGATGGCATTAAAACCCTTTCCCCCATTCCCCACCCCACCCCCCTTTTTTGGCGGCAGCAGAAAAAAATTAAAAATCAGCATTATTTTAACCATTTAAGGCCAGTTACATTCACGAGCGCATCAGAAACCACAGCAATGGAATGGTTTGTAAATTTTAGGAAAATAACAAACATGAAATTGTATCCATTATGAAATATATAACCACCCTGTGCAAAGCAAAGAAACAGGTATTGGTCAAGGCAAGACACTCCGTGAGATACCACCAACCGTGACTGCTAATGAATAGCACTTTAAAAGCTTAGAAATAAGAGCGCCGATCCACAGATTCATTCACAAAGCCTGCCTTATAATAACAAGACGCACTTCATTCCTCAAAAGTGATAAAAATGAAGACTCATTAGAAGCAAACCTGTTGCCAATTCCTGCGGAGCTAAAACAAATTCATTTGTTAGCTTGTGAGTTATTTTATTTAAATGTTGGTGTATCAACTTGGCATCCAATGAATCATCAAAAACATATTTGGGTTCCATGAATATTGATAGTAAAAAGATAAAATAGAGGAACACATGTTTTAGAAGTGCCCTTTCTTATATTTTAAAAACTGCTCTGTTAACTTAAGAACATAACCAACTTTTGCCATTCCAGAGAGAACTATAATTGTAATCCTCCCCACTCCCCATGATCCAGAGGTGAGATTGCAGATGGCAGGCTTTTAAAATGACATGAAATCTTCATGGGTGAGTGGGGCAGAAAGTCAGTATATGTGAGAGCTTCTTCAAGTCTTCTCACCAAATTCTAAAGGGTTCACCTCCCTTCTCCCTGTACACAGCCTCGATCTCATTAGATTTCTGCTTCATAAAGAGGAGCATTTGCGTTTCCTCTTACGATGCTAAAGTATTAAGACCTCAAAATGCATCTGTACCCAAAAGCATTTTAAGAGACATTATCATGAGAAAAGAGAACCACCCCTGCGTCCTGGTCACCACTATTAGGAGGTACTTGCACTGTTCCATTTATAAGGCAAATTAAAGGACAGTCATCTAGGACAGAAACAAAAAAAGAGACTTACGATGTATTCGAAGTGCCATTGTCTGGACTCTCCGGCTCAGCATCACCTTTCTCTTAAAAAGGAAGTAGGGAAAAAAAAAACCCGACATGTGAGTCGTGCAGTCTTAAGATTTAAGAGAGACTAAATATTTCTATGGTCCTATTAACAATCTTTCAAAATGTGCAGCAGGAGGCCTTTAAAACATTTTTTATTGTCTGAGAGCTGGATCCGCAAAATAATTTCGTCTTTGCAATGCAATTGCCCAGGCACCAATCTGTGGGTAGGTACTAAGGAGCTATTTGCAAACAACCAGAGGTGCAGGCTAGAGACCTTGCCAAGAGATGAATATCTTACAGATGGAATCGGTTTCTTTCCACTTCATTTTACAGAAAATTTAAAGAAAATAAACCCATTAGCATTCGACTTCCAAGGCACTTTGAACTTTGATCCCTCCTGCTAACATAAGCCAAATGGGGTCTGGCTGAAACAGAACCTGGATGAGAGAACTTCACAGAACACTGAGGTTGCAGTCATGAGACCCCCAAGAATTATACCCCATGGAGAATTACAGTCCTGGCAGCAGGTTGTGGGGCTCACAAGTTAGAGCCAGATAAGATGTAAACCAGAAATCCTTCCTGCCCATCTGAGAGGATGGAGAAAGAAAGGTTTCTGAGGGACGTGGCCATTGGGGACTTGACGGTTTTTAGTTAGGGGAGCCTGGGACTAGTTCACTCTTCGTAGTTTTAAAGTCAGATGCAACAGGCCTAATGTAATTCACAATCCTGGCCCAATGGGTGGTTTGAAATATGCGTCTTCACATTGTAAAGAGCTTCTATGGATGTCCTTGAGGTTGGGGTGGGAAGAAGGGTCCTTTGTGCCTAAGAGTAAGTTGCTTGTAGCTGCTGATGGCTCTGCAGCGCCCATGGCTGAATGAACCCAGAGACTTGCAAGTTGCAGAAAGGGCCTGCGGGTGGCCACTTGGCCTTGCTGTGCTCTCTCAGGTCAGCCTGGACATCTCCTAGGATCCCTCATTCTACCATGCAGGCCCTCAGACCTATGCAGGTACCAAGCTCCATGTGTCATCTATTGACCTTAGCAGGTGGTCACCTCCTCTTAGGAATGACCCCTCAAATCACTTCATGGAGCCCAGGGATGTTGCCCAAATGGCTCTGAATCAATCTTCACATTTTCTTCTCTTTTTCTTATAGGACAGCAAGCAGTTGGGAGGAAAGGAAGACACATTACATAGAGCTCATAATCTGTCTCAGATGTGATTTTCACTGTGTCTCTCTAGATGGTGCCAGGGCACCCACAAGGGACAGTCACTAGGTCCAAATCCAGTCGTCCAGGGAAAAAAACCAAATAAGTCTACCAAATCTATGATGATAATAAACATGGAGTAGTCAGAGCCCTAATTCATATAAACACCCTGTTAGACTAGCCAGGACCCTAATCCATATGAAACCACATGAATACTTATGTATTTCACCTTGACATAAAGCAAAGGCAACAAATTAATAAACTTGCTTGAACACTCCTACTTTGATACTGTCTTTGGCCTTTCAGGCAGAGCTGTGATGTGCTCCTTTAAGGGATATGTAAGGCCCGGTCAACTGGCTTCTGTGCTGGAAAATATCCTAGTCTGGTACTTTCCAGAATCATTTTTCCCCTAAGCAACCATTGTTCCTGCCATAATCCCAAAATAGAGAGTCATAACATCTACATTAGGTAGGAAAAATCTAAATGAAGGTGCTATTTTTCCTCAAAAACATAGATTCATCCTTCTTCCTTCCCCTTTAATCTGGAGAAACTGGTTCTGTTCCCCAGGGCCCCGCTGCCAGCGGTCATATCTTGCACCATTATAATAAAGAATGTAAAGCAGCAGGCGAGAGTAAACATTTCCAAAGGATTTATGTCAGAAAACAGGGAAACAATAATACCCACGCAGGCCTTGCTTGGATGTTTGAAGAAACACGTTTTACCTTGACCCATACTGTTGCCACATAACCCCACAGGTGGAGGTGCCGCAGGCTGGACTGCACATTGGATCGGGGGCTGCAGGAGTCACGGGCTGGTCTCAGCACAGGGACAAAGCTGCAGCTGATTATCTCTGCTCTTAGCAGCACTTACGTTGTGGCAACAGGGAAAACAGAATAGGTTTTGGCAAACAGGAAGGATACCACGGGGCCAAACGGGACATTTAGAAACAGCCCGAGTGGGAGTGCTCTGAGCCACTTTAGGGCTGATAATGAATTAAACTTTTTTTGGGGAAAAGTAAGCTTGGGATTAAAAGAGGGATTTTAACTATTTTTGTCCTACACACACACACACACACACACGTTGCAAAACCCCACTCAACATCTTGAAATCTTAGGTGATGCAATTTTTCAAGTTAATCTGCAATGTGTAAAGCCATCAGCCATCGAGAAACACAGGCACCCAAGGAAAATGATGCTGAAGATGGCTGGAGGTGCTCAGTGTGAGAATTTTTTAGGTGGGAGCTCAGGAGATGGTTCCTTGCAGCCCCCAAAGGGGACTGTTTGGGGTCATCCTGTTTATATCAGCTGCTGTCATGATGGATACCACCACATTGGTCTATTTGGAAGGGAGCCTGCATCGATCATTAACAGGTTGGGCATAAGGGGCTGGCAGGGGGCAGTGTGGTCATTTGCATGTGGAAATACAATGCAGAGAGGAAGGGGAGATGGGCCATGTTGTGGGGGACCCCATAGATACATGCAAATGTATCTACATGTACACGTGTATGTATACAGGTCCCTGATGCCTGTATTTCAATTGTTTTCTAATATAGAACCACATGCTCAAGTAGAAGAGGCTGGCCTGGGGGTGTAGCTCAGGGGTAGAGTGTGTGCTTAGCACACACAGGTGCTGGTTTCCATCCCCAGCACTAGGGCAAATAAAAGAAAAAGCAGAAGAGGGTTAAGGTTCCTTTGCTACTGAGATGGATATAGTCTGAGGAATGAAACCGCTTGATGGTTCCAATAGGTCACTGAAAAAAAATCACAATAGCTCTCTTTCTAATTCAATAAATGTGCTGAGGTTGTATAGACCTGGTACTCCGCTTGGTAAACCTAAAGATAAGTGATATGTAATCCATGCCCTCTGATCACTTAGATCACGTTGCCCATTAGCAGTCATACAATGTGGACCAGAGATGAGGTCTGAAAATGGAATCGAAAAATAGACATGCAGTATGCTAAGTATACCACAGAGGAGGATCTGCCTAGGTACAACTTTTCTTTATCACTCTATTAAAAGTAATCCATACTTTTGTTGGAAAAAAATATGAACAGTGGGGAAAAGGTAATGACTCCTCTTGATTTTGTCTCCAATTCTATTAGCCCTTCTACTCTAAGTAACAGACTACCATCTTTTTTTCTAAATACAACAACTTTATACAGTACCTAATAATTTCTGATATGAAAAACATGAGATATTTAATATACTGTCCCTGCCCCTAAAATTTTACTAATTCTATTATTACTTTTAGCATCTATATTATGTATTTGTAACTTTAAATACATTGAATCTTCATTGACTTGATTCATCAACTTGGGATAGCATCTTTTCTGTTGCTTTGACACAAAGTAAGAAAACTCATTTCTTTATTCTTTCCTCAAGTTTCCTTTCTTTTTTTTCTCTCTCAACTTGAAACAGCTACACTTTTACTTTTACCATTGCAAAGGTTTAAAATATTCATATTATGTTCAGTAATTATTAATGAGGCATCCTCATTAATATTAATTGAGTTAATCATTTAGTTTCTGGACTTGCCTATAGGTCAATGATAGAAACTATAAACCAATGACCCAAATTTACCGTATCATAATATAAACAGTAGCTACTAAGGGACAAAATGGCACAAGTGGATCTGTAGAAGGAAATGCCACAGAGGGGGAATGGAGGCAAGGGCACCCAGTTTTCATGTCCAATGGATTCTCATTCTTACCTTCTCTCACACCACTGTGGTCTGTCTCAAGTAAGGGCTAAGCCTGTCCTAAAAGACTGTGTGTGAAATGTACCTGTGCCTGAAATGTATATAGACAGTTTAAAAAAATTAAAATGAGTCAACTGTGACTATACCTTCTAGTCCAGGAAACAAAACATCATCAAAAAGTAACCCAGCCAGGTGGGGTGGCCCACACCTTTAATCCCAGTGGCTCGGGAAGCAGAGGCAGGAGGATCACAAGTTCAAAGCCAGCCTCAGCCAATGCAAGGTACTAAGCAACTCAGTGAGACCCTGTCTCAAAGTAAAAAATAAAAAGGGCTGGGGATGGGGCTCAGTGGTAGAGCACCCCTAGGTTCAATCCCTGGTACCAAAAACCAAAAAACAAACAAACACAAAAACTGCATCCTGGCCCGGCCCCTGCCAACTGGAACTCTTGTGTCAATCATTCCCTACCTTTTCTGCACAGCTTTCAAAACCCCAGTGTGCAGTGTCTGGTTATTGCTGTTTCTAATCTTTAATCTTCTATTACACTTGGAATCACTTCTATTATACATGGAATCACACTACACATGTTCTGTTAAGACACATCCACACACACACACTAGTGATAGCCAAATACTTTTTTCTAACAATAACATAGAATGAAATTTCATTAGGGTGTTTGCCTGTCTCTGAGTTTTAATGAGATACATATTCTGTACCTGTTCTTTTGTGTCACTTATTTTAAAAAAACATTTTTTAGTATTTTTCATTCATAGAAGCATTTTATTGTTTCAATACAAATAATAAATTTGTATCATAATAAATACAAATCACAAACACAAAATAAAATAACTATTCCCAGGGTTCCCAGTGTTAGCTTTTTATTTTATTTTTTTTTTCTGGTATCTTTGGATGAACTGTAAGTTTTTAATTTCAATGTATTTATATTTATCAATATTTTTCCTTTGACTTTTTTGGCATATTTTATTTAAGAAATGAATCAGAAAAATGTTCTTTTTAAAAAAAATTTTGTCCTGGGTATTGAAACTAGGAGCACCTTACCACTGAGCCATATTACCCCCCTGACTTTGAACTTGCTATTCTCCTGCCTCAGCCTCTTGAGCCAGTGGGATTATGGATGTGTGCCACCACGTCTGGCTGGAAGAATGTTTTATACTTTCTTCGGAAAGTGTATAGTTTTGCTGGTCTTTTAAAAATACCTGGATTGGTTTTTGCACATGGTGTTGGGTGGGTGTTAATTTCCCTTCTCTTTCTGTAGATAACAAATGATTCCATATCAAGTATTCTGGTATAAGCATTTTAGGCTATAAATTTCTCTCTGATTTACTTTCATTCCCCAGTTTTAACACTAGGTGTTTATGTTACCTTTTAATTGCAAATATTCACTAATATCTGAAGTACTTCTTTATTTCTAAACCTCTGTTTTCATTCCTAATCATCCTTTGTTTTTTTCTCCTAAATTTTCTGAATCTTCAATCTTCAATGTGTCATTATAAACAGCATAGAGCTGGAGTTTTATTTTAATTCATTTGGACAACATCTGTCATTAAATCATAGCCATCTAATCTATTTGTTCAGATTACCGGTTTTATTTTATTTATACCAATATATCTTTCCACACACTCTGATCTTTTTCTAGTCTTTATTTCTTTGAGATAAACTGGTAACGTTTTCATATTCCACTTTTATCTCGGTTTTTGAGTTGTTTTTCTTATTTTGTTGGTAGGTGAAATACCCTTTCTTAGAGTTCATGGTGTTCACTGAATTTATCAAAGTTCAAAGTTAACATTTTTGGGGGCGGGTACTGGAGATTGAACTCAGGGGCACTCGACCACTGAGCCACAACCCCAGCTCTATCTTGTATTTTATTTAGCGTTAGAGTCTCACTGAGTTGTTTAGCACCTTGCTTTTGCTGAGTCTGGCTTTGAACTCAGGATCCTCCTGTCTCAGCCTCCAGAGCCAATGGGAGTACAGGTGTGCACCACCATGTCCGGCCCAAAGTGAACATTTTTATTCTTCTCCCAAATAATTATAGGAACTCAGAAAGATTTTAATTCCCAATTTTCCTCTATTCTATGCCATTGTGCTTGTGTAAATCATACTTTTATTATTTCACAAGATGTTGTTGTATACAGTATTGTCCACACTTTCTCCATGTTTCCTTTCTGTACTGTAGAACCCTTGAAGCTCCCATTTCTTCTGAATGAAGCACATTCTTTTAGAATTCCTTTTTTTGTAGGGTCTACACTTTCCCTGATTTTGTTTGTCTGGAAACGTCATTCTATATTATTATTTGTTATTGTTTGTAATATACAGAATTTAGTTTGGTAATTATTTCCTCTCAATTGAGTGAAGTTATAAGTTCACCGTTGCTTTTTTTAAAAAAAGATACTAAAAGGTATTTTAAGTTTTCCTCCCCCTTTTTTATGTGTTTTGCAAAAATGGGTCCACATGGATTTCTTTTTATTCATCCTGCTTAATAGTCACTGCATTTCATGAAACTGTGGGCTAGTGTCTTTCAATTCCGGAAAATTTTATTCCTGCTGCTTTCCCCCCTCCCTTTCTGGAATCCAAGTTAGACATTAGATTTTACCACTTCATCCTTCCTGTTGCTCAACTTCCATGTCCTGTTTTCCATACCTGTCTCTCTAGGCTGTATTCTAGGATGGATATATATATATATATATATATATATATATTTTTTTTTTTTTTTTTTTAATTTACATTTCCATTCTGTCATTCTCTCTCTCTGGTGTGCTGTTAGACCTGCCCATGGAAATTTTAATTTCCATTATTACTTTTTCATTTCTAGAAATGCGGGCTGCTGGCACTTCTTCGAGTCTTGCTGTTTATCATATTTCTAATCTTCTCTTATATTTCTCAAAATTAAGCTAAGGCTCTTATTTCGTATTCTAGGCTTGATAATCCAAACATCTGCATTCGGTGTCTGAAAACCCCAATGTCTGAGTGAGGAATCTAATTTCGGTCTCTCTCATTTCCTCTCATGCAAAGTGTTTTTGGTCACAAATTGCTCTTCCCCAGGGGAAACTACTGATTTCTAATGCTTTTGTCCCCTTCCTTTTCTACGATCCCTAATAGCTGGATTTTAACCTTCTGGGTACCTTAACCCCTTTCCATAGTTCCCACCTGTGTTTCAGAAAAGAGCTTTCAACTTTATATTCTGGATCCCAGATTAGAGCTACTACTACCCTTTTCTTTTCTTTTTCTTTTTCTTTTTTTAATTTTTGTTGGTCACATTTTGAATTCTCAAGGGCTCATTTATTCAGTAATGACTTTTTGCATGACAGTCTCTTTGTTCTTTCTACTTAATATGAATAATCTCAAGTCTTTCTGAAGACTGTAAGTATAGCTGGAACTGTTTTCTTCTCATTGTGCTAGCTAGACTTCCTCTGGGGTCAGTCCTTCTACCTGGAGCTCAAGTCTATATTTTCATATTCAAATGACAGGTTAGTAAAAACAAAGGCACCTGGTGTGAATTTCCTATCTGACTACAGTGTTTCTCTAACACCATCTTGCACTAGGGAGGGATGATTTAGGGCAAATGTGTAAGACGACAGGCTTACACATTTGTTGATTAGAAAGCAAGAGAAAAGAGGTCCAGGCTGGGAGCCCAGGGCCTTCCCCACTTCTTCACTTAGAAGCACGGCGTGCTTGCTTTGCGCATGATGAGCTTGTGTTGATTTCCCTCTTGAGAAAAGAAATGACTCTTCCATCACTATCTATGTCTATATTCAAGGTCTGGTATTGTCTTAGAATGTGTTCTTATATATTGTTCCCAAGTAGGAATTCTAGTCACTTGTCTTTTTTTATCACTGTTTTTTGTTCTTTGGGGCCTTTTGCAAGGAAATGAGACAGAAAGTGCTGTATGAGAATTAGCTAGGGTGGGGTGCATCACTGAAGCGGGGAAAGATGGCCCAGGGGTCCCCATGCAGCTGCCACCCACATCCATTCTACTGTGGTTTCAAGGAAATCTAGCCTGTCCCGGGGCCACCAGGGCTGTCCCTCACCACGAAGGCTTATTCCTCTTTTTTCTTTCTTTTCCTGGGTCATGACTTTCCTTGCTCAGGATTATTTTTCAGTAGGGTCCTATTTACTTTCTGTTTTCCAGACACTCGGCTAAATGTCTGGTTTGCAGAGGGCAATCTTCCCTGTTCTCAGTGCTGTTGAGGATTGATGTCCACCTTTACAGCTTTATGGTTCTTCAGTGGGGATTCCGAAGGGAAGGGGAGAAGCGCTTAAACTCAACCCGCCACCTGGATGTTGGAAAGTGCAGACACCCATCATCTATATTAATACTTAAATACTCTGTGGGATGTTTATAGAATCTTAAAATAGAAGCTTGTTAAGCATTGAGAAATTTATCTTAGAAAAACGTCTCACTGGAACCTGTGCCCCAAGCAAAGCCTGACAGAGGTTGGGGTAATTGATCCAACCTGCACATTATGGGCACGTTGTTCCCCTCTGCTGACCTTCCTCTACCTGTGCATTAAAACCTTGGAACTTTCCAACACATTTATCTGAGCATCTGTCCTTGCCAACACTTCTTCTTCTCCTATTCTTTTTTTAAAAAAATGTTTAATTTTATTTTAAATTGCATAGTAAAATCATTCTAAATAATGTGAAATTAGACATTTAAAAAAATTTTTTTAAGAAGCATATATTCTTGATTTCATGTTAGCTTAATGCACACAAACATAAATAGGCATCTACTAGCTCCGAGTGGTCTTCGTCTTCAAACATAACTCTATCACTGGCAAAGGGCGCTCACAGCTCACAAGCAGCTGGAGAAACTAACAAAGCCCTGGTTTTGCAAGGGTGCTTTTAGGACGGGAACAGAGTAGCTCCTGCATCTTTAATGCCCCCAGACAACTGTAATACCAATTAATACTGCCACAAGAGAATGAAAACAGTGCTTTACAGGATGCTCTCTTCTTTGATGACAAAGCCTACATGTTTTGTTAGCCACCAATTCAGTGAGTAACTTCCTTCCTAAATAGCGCAGCCTATTTCTGAATGAGGACATGGCATACATAACTGGCAAGTGGTGACATTCCTTCATGGATTCTGAGGTCTTTACCTTGAGGTCTTTGGATTGTTTTTTTTTTTTTTTCCCAGTTCATTTTCTTTAATTTAGTCAACTCTCTATTTGCCTTTTTTTCCCCACCTCCATATGTACCAGTGACCAATTAACTGTTAATAAAGCATGCTATCTCCTATGATCACTCTGAAATTCAGCATTTTATGGTTTGGTCTTCCTTCTACTGAGTGTGAGCACTCAAGGTCATTCATTTAGGCAACACGTACTTGAGCCAATGGCTGTTTCCTACTTGAATATGTTTCCTGATGACTTTCTTTTAAACCAACAGTCTGTTGCAAGCTCATCCTCTCCACCCTCCAACCCATCTTTTCCCTGTGAGTATAAAGTTAGGAAGAGAAGACTTTCTTACTTGGATTATTGTGTCCAGAGGATACAAGCTGAGAGTCCTGAAAGAAAAAGAAATATCAATTAATTTTCTTACTTTGATTTTCCAAACACTAGTTGAAAAGGAGATAGATGACTGGTCATTCAGAACCAAGTCATTGCTCCTAACTTTAGCAGCCACTATAACAAGGCCCATTTGCATAAATGTGCTTGGTAAGCCGATCTGGGAATGCAGATCACAATCACCTTTATTCTGTAGCACTGACCTTATGTTTTGTCTATTGAGGGAAAGGTGACATAACATAAAATCAACCATTTTGAAATGAACAAACAATTCATTGGAATGTAGTACATCCCCAACGTTGTACAAGCATGACATCTATCTAGCTACAAAGTATTTCCATCTTTCTAAAATAAAATCTCATGCCCATCAAGCAAGATCTCCCCATTTCCCCTCTCCTCGGGCCCCAGCAATGAACAATTTTATCTGTGTCTATTCTATTCCAGATATTTCGTGTCAGTAGAGTCATATGACCTAGCTTCGGTCACTTAGCAGTGTTTTGGAGGTTCACTTCTTCTTGTAGTATATATCAGCGTTTCATTTCTTTTTATGGATTAATAATATATTTACACATATTTGCTTATCCATGCACCTGTTGGTGGGTACGTAGATTGTTCTCATCTGTGGCTACTTGGAACATTGCTGCTGTGACCACGCGTGTGCAGGTCCTTGTTCTAGCCCCCGTTTTCAGTCCTTCTGGGTTATGTGTGTACAAAAGGAATTTTGGGGTCATCTTATGGTAGCTCTCTGAAAATTTTTGAGGAATTGTCAAACTATTTTCCACAGTGGCAGAAACATTTTGGGTTCCTACCAGGGAAATGTAAGGGCTCTAATTTTCCTAAATCCTCATCAACATTTATTATTTTTCATTATAATAATAAAAAATAAAAACCTAGGGACTGGGGTTGTGGCTCAGCGGTAGAGCGCTCGCCTAGCATGTGCGAGGACCTGGGTTCGATCCTCAGCACCACATAAAAATAAATAAATAAAATAAAGGTATTGTGTGCAACTACAACTAAAAAATAAATATTAAAAAGAAAACCCAAAAAACCTAGCCATTCTTGAGGGTGTGAAGTGGAATTCCTCGTTGTGATTTTGACTTGTATTTACCTAAAAACTAACCACACTGAGCATCTCTTCATGTGTTTATTGCCTGTGTGTAAGTCTTCGTCTATTAAATACCCAGTAGAGTCCTTTGCCTTTGATTTAATACAGCTCTTTGCCTTTTTGAGGTTGAGTTGAAAGAGTTCTTTATATTCTGGATACTACACTCTTCACAGATATATGATTCGCCAATCTTTTCTCCCATTCTGTCAGCTTCCTTTCCCCTGTATTGATAATATTCTTCGATGCACAAGTTTTAAATTTTGATGAAGTTTAATTTATCCAGTTTTTCTTTCATTGCTCAAGCTTTTGGGGCCATAGCTAAGAATTCCTGGCTGAATCCAAGCCACAAAGATTTAACCCTCTGTTTTCTTTTATGAAGTCTGCGGGTTTAGTTCTATATTTAGTCACTGGTCTATTATATTATTGACTTTGAGTCTCAGCCACTTCCTTTTGAAGGCACCTGTACTACCAGCATCTCTGCAGATGAGGCTGGCCCCTCTCCTGTTAGGAACATTGCTGACAAGCTGTTGTCAATCTCACAGCAGTGGGTGAAAAGATTATTACAGATATCCACTTATCTACTCTGATGTAAATCCAGTACTTTGCAGTATCTGAAGTCTAGTTACTACTCAGATAAATGGGATTAAGCCTGATTTTATTTATATTAAAGTGATATGTGAATTTTGTCTTGAGAATTCACATCCTCTTTCCTTGAAAGATCCTTATTTGATGTGAAATATAAGGGGGAGTTATAAAATGAATTGAGGTGGTAGGAATATAAAAAAAATAAGTAGCAATGCATAAAATCCAACAAAACTCCTTTATAATTCTGGCATGTGGAATGAAAATCCAGTGAAATGGAATTACTCTCCAGTATATGGCTTAACATATTTTACCAGAATTTTGCTCTATGAATACAGTTGTTAAAGGGCAGAGGTATCATTTAATGGCACTTGTGGCATATTCAATTCTAATGAATAATGTCTGTTTTAAAAAGGAATTCCACTGAAATAGTACAAATGAGCCAGTCTGGTGGGCGAGGATTTGGAGGAGAAAATTGGGAAGGGATGGGATTCCCACTCTATTAGGCAGTCTGAGTCATGCGCGGATGCCTAGTAAACCTCTTTCAGAGTTGGTAGTAATGAGCTGTTCAGCTGATGGGAAAGAACAAAGTTCAACTTTCACTCTGAGATTCTGTTTTGGAAAGAGTGACATGAAGATGAAATAGTGTCACTGAAGTGATGGCCAACATGAAATCTGCAAAAACGACTCTGGCCCAGTTTGCAGAGGTGCTGTTATGAAGAAGAGACCCACAGGCAATTTCCCCAAGGGCACCAGGGAGTTTCCTTTCTGGTTAACTTACAGTTTATATCTGAACAGAAATTACTTTTAGTTTTCATGTTAAAAATACTTTGAGTCCCAGTGAGTTAACTCCTCTGTCCTGTCTGTGGATTTTGGCCCTTTGGAGCCATCCTGTCCTAGACGGGGAAGACTCACTTGTCACCAATGAGCAGGAACAGCAATTGAGATGGTGCCTGTGTTAAGCTCATTCTTTAAACAAACAAGAAAAAAAAATGAAAGAAAGAATAGCAGAAAATTTCCTATGACCTTGCTCATACTAATAAGAAACAGAATTTTTTATTTCTTGAAGCATCCTAAAACTCAGGCCTTAGATGATGACTGTCCACAGACTCTTTCAGCAGAGAACCAAAGATATGCTTCCAGACAACCTGCTTCAGTATAACCACTTCCTATAAGCTCACTCTCCATGACTTAGAAGAGCATCTACAATGGGAATTTACTCTTCTCCACCTTTAAATCTGGAAGTCCCAACACCCAGTCTCTTCTTTGGCATCCGAGAATATTAAAACTCCTTTAAAAGGTGGATAGTAGGGGATAGGAAAGGTAGCAGAATACAACAGTCATTAATATGGTATTATGTAAAAATGTGGATGAGTAACCGATGTGATTCTGCAACTTGTATTTGGGGTAAAAAATGGGAGTTCATAACCCACTTGAATCAAATGTATGGAAGATGATATGTCATGAGCTTTGTAATGTTTTGAACAACCAATAAAAAAAAAGGTGGCATTTAGTTGAGAAGTAAAATTCACACAAATCATTTTGCTGAAGGCAGAAATAACCAGGCACACTGTTTCCAAGAAAGCCCTTCAATGAAACACCATAACAGATCCCACATTCCATTCAATGGAGCCTGTCAAACTATTTGAGGCCTCATTATCTTATATACTACCCTGAAAGAAAATTGTTGCCAACTAATTGCAGCACTTCACCACTGAGCCACATCCCCGGCCCTTTTTATTTTTATTTTTTTAAATTTTGAGACAGGGTCTTGCTATGTTGCTCAGGGCCTCACTGAGTTGCTGAGGCTAACTTTGAACTTGCAATCCTCTTGCTTCAGCCTCCTGAGTTGCTGGGATTACAGGTGTGTGCCACTACACTGGGTTTGTGGTTGTTTTTTTTTTAATATTTTTTTAGTTGTTGGTGGACACAATACGTTTTTATTTTATTTATGGGGTTCTGAGGATCGAACCCAGGGTCTCACACATATGCAAGACGAGTGCTGAACCGCTGAGCCCCAGCCCCAGCCCCTTGTGGTTGCTTTTGAAGCACAGTAGCAACCCAAGGAGGAAGATGTATAATAAACTTTCCATCTCCAAACACTTTCCTTCCTACTTCCAGGTGCTCATTCTCCCTGGAGTGTATAAAGAGAAAGGCGGTAGGATGGTAGGATTCTTGTTTCTATGGTGATGCTAGAACTCCTCTGAACAAACTTTAAAAAAAACATCAGCAAGAATATTTTCAGACCGGGCCTAACCCACCGATTCAGCATCCACGGCCTGTGAAATGTCCCTGGGTTTGGACATACCCATTCTGGAGAATGGAAAACATTCTACACTTTTGAGTTCTTTATTTGCATTTCAAAACTTATGAGATTGATGCACAATGAAAGGGGAAAGGGCAAGCAAATTCGTTTTCTTTTCTCTTGGTTGAAATACCGGATAATGGCAGCCAATTTAAAGGAGAAGGGCGTTCTTAGCTTTACCAAATTCAATTACTTTTGAGATTTGAAGAATGAGGCAGAAATGCCTCGTAGTGTTTGTCCAGGGAATTGTGATTCCAAATCAAGTCCTCAGAGAGTAGGAAAAAAAAATAATCAAGTTCATTATCAATTGACTTTGCTATATATTATGTCCTTCAATACTCAGACAGAGTGAGGGAATTCTCGGAAGTATTTAGCTAATTAATTTAGTGGTACTGGTAACTCAGAGTGCCTAGTAAAATCGACTTTTCCTTGTGAGATCAAATGGTTCCCTTAATCTTAATAAGGTCTTAATTTCATTGTTTATTAGTCATTTTGGAGAAAGCAACTCAAATTCCATAAGCAACTCTAGCTCAACACATTCACATTCGTTATAGTGATAATCTCAAACATTAACAGTCTAATTAATCAGTTTCAATGTCCAGCTGCCAGAATGCTCCTTTGTTGAGATAAAAGGTTAAAGATCGTGCATCTGAGGGATGGGAATGTAGCTCACTGGTAGAGTGTGTGCCTAGCCTGTGCAAGTTCCATTCCCAGCAACCCCCATCCCCAGCAACCCCCCCATCCCCACCAACCAGAGGTCCAATCTCTGGGAAAGTCAAAAACAGTCTTTGGCATAGCCAGAATAAGCACCCCCAAAGATGTCTGTCCCCCATTCCAGGAACCTGCAATATGTACCTGATATGGAAAAAGGTACTTTGTAGATGTTCTGAAATAGGAGATTATTCAGGCAAACCAAATACAATATCAAGGTCTTTATAAGGAAAGCAGAGGTCTGAGTGACACAAGCCTTGAGTATGGAAGCCTCTAGAAGCTAAATAGGCAAGCAAAGGAATTCTTCCCTAGAGCCTTCAGCCTGCTGCCCCTACGCCCTGAGTTTACCTCAATGAACCCCAATTCAGATTTCTGAAAGTATGTGTTGACTTAAGTCACTAAGCGGGTGGTCACTTGTTACAGCAGAAATAGGAAGCTCACTCAGCCTTCTTTCATTTGTACACGGTAAACCATCAGTGCTTACGGCAAGCCTTCTGAAAAATGGCACTATTAAAATCATGCCATGTTCTTACGGTTTGTGAAATCACTTATTCTTTCTTCTTGGGCAAGGCGAAAAGATCTAGAGGTAAAATACCATCTCCACGCAAATCCTGGCACCCTGGAAAATGTCTTATGGGGAAGTCCTAAATAGGGCACACTTTCCACTGACATCCAGAATTCTGTGCTTTATCTCGTAGGATGGATAATAATGAATGAAAAAATAAGAAACTTCCAACTACTTTCTGTTTTTAAAATTGAAAGTTTTTACTTATACTCAGGTTTCTGTTAGATCTCTAGGAAGTATTTGTGTTGCATAGCTGAAACTTCACACTCTTTGACCAACATTTCTTTTTTTTTTTGTACTGGGGATTGAACTCAGGAACACCTGACTACTGAGCCACATCCCCAGCCCTATTTTGTATTTTATTTAGAGACAGGGTCTCACTGAGTTGCTTAGTGTCGCTTTTGAACTCGAGATCCTCCTGCCTTAGCCTCCTGAGCCGTTGGGATTACAGGCCTGAGCCACCGTGCCCAGCTTGACTAACATTTCTTACTACCCGTGCCCTCATTCCTGGCCACCACCATTCACTCTGCTTCTATGAGTCTGATTATTTTGGATGCTACATATAAGTGAGATCATGCCATATCTGTCTGTGTCTGACTCATTTCACTTAGCATAAGGCCTCAAGTTATCTATCTATCTATCTCTGTCACATACACAAATGACACACACATACATGAATGATATGCAGTATGTTATATCAAAAATCTAACTATAGCTAGTGATACTATATTGTGTTCTTGAAATTCACTAAGAGGACATTTGCTAGGATCACAAAGGAAAAAAAGTGTAACTATGTGAGATGACAGATATGCTAATTAGCTTGTGATGATTATTTCACAACATATATAAATACCAAAACATTAAGTTATTTGCCTCTAATACATACCATTTTTATTTGTCAACTGTATCTCAATAAAGCTATAAAAATGAAATCTTTGCATTAGTGATTTAAAATCTCAATTTCACCTCAGGAGTTGTTATTGCTTCAGTATTTACATGAAAGAAAACAAAAGGAATTTTGAGAAAGCCACAATAAAGTATTTTTTGGTATGTGCTCAATTATATCAAAACTTACACCAGGGGTATATGTAAATGACAAATAAGTTTACTTGATTGTATTGAGGGTCAGCCATTATTTGGTTCAGATTACATGCAAAGATTGTAAGGTTTCTTCATTTCATTCTAGGTGTGGCAGGATGCCATTAGAAATCCATGCTGCAGAAATTATCCAAAATTTGCCTGCGTTCAAAGGGCTAGGAGTCTGGGAACTTCAGGTGCATCCAGTTTACACTCCACCAATGAGATGCCCCATTCATTCATTAGCTGTTGTCTGCTAAGCCTGAACTGTTTGCTATCTGATTCTTCACTGAAAGGGTCTTGTCAAATTCTGTTTCCTGTTGAGATGGGGCCTCAGTGTGTGGCCCAGGCTGGTATCAAACTTGTGGGCTCAACCAATTCTCCTGTCTCAGCTTCTGCAGTAGCTGGGACTCCAGCCGTGGGCCACCCACGTCCAGCTGTCTACCTCTGACTTAAACAATAAGGTATTGGGAAAGAATTCGATAAATAGGGTGGAAAAACAGAATAGTGAATCCTGAAACAAATCCACATATTTACTAGAAATTCAACTATAGACACAGCGGGTATTTCAAAGAAGTGGGAGAAAAGTGCGCTTTCCGTATGTTGATAGTGTTATAACAATTGACTAATCTTAAAAAACCTAAAACTAGAATCCTAAGTCACACCATCCTCAATGTATTTAGGTCTAAGAACATACCACCAAAGAATGAGAATAAAAATAGAGAACATTGTTAGAATGTTGGAAAAGGGAACATCATTTTTCTCTGACATAAAAATTAAACACTTTTCTAGGATAAAAGGCACATAAATAAGGTTACAAAAATAGGTGACATTCTATATAATAGACAAGTGAATAAGATATAAGGAGTTCCTACAAATCATTTTTATGAAGTGGCAGTGGATATGAATGGGCTATTTGAAAAGGAAAAACAGTCACTGCTCAAGCTTAGAAGTAATTGGGGAAATGCAAATTAAAACAATGAGATATCAACTTTTCATCCATCATGCAGACACAATGATAAAAACCCAGATAATATTAATCATTGGCTAAGATACATAAAATGGACTCTTGAAACACAGCCAAGAGTAAATGGTTTCTGAGGGCTCCGGCGCCCTTCGAATTCCCAGGCTGGGGTGTCCTTACTGGGGACAGTCGATAGCAGCAGACAAAGAGGCATTTACAAAGTGTCTGTGGTACCAGAGTGTGTAATTAACAAACCACAGACAATCTCAAAGTCTACCAAAAGGAGCTCGATCAAATAAAACATGGCAAACCCATCTTACACAATATTTTGCTGCAGTTTAGAATTCTTTTCTTTTTTCTTTTTCTTTTGGTACTACAGATTGAATCCAGAGGCACTTTACCACAGAGCTACATCCCCAGTCCTTTTTATATTTTATCTTATTAAAAATTAATTAATTAATCAATTTTTAATTAATTAATCAATTAATTAATTTTACAGTAGAATGCATTTTGACCTATAGCACACAAATGGAGCACAACTTATCATTCCTCTGGCTGTACCCAGCTCAGCGTCACACCACTAGTGTAACCACACATGTATATAGGGTAATAATGTCTGTCTCTTTCTACCCTCCTTCCCTTACCCACAACCCCACCCCCTCCCCGGCTCCCCTCTACACAAACCAAAGTTTGGAACTGGAGAATATCATGCTAAGTGAAATAAGCCAGTCCCCCCAAACCAAAACCTGAATGTTTTCTCTGATAATCGGATGCTGATCCATAGTGGGGCGGGGAACAGGGAAGAATGAAGGAATTTATATTTTATTTTGAGACAGGGTCTCACTAAGTTGCCAAGGCTGGCTGGAATTTGTGATCCTCCTGCCTCAGCTTCCTGAGTACTTGGAACTATAGGCATGTGCCACCATGCCGGGCTTTTGCTGCTGTTTAGAAGGATAAAGAAATCTCTGTAGGTTCACTTGGAAAGAGCTCCAAGTGCACTTTGCTAAGGGTAATAAAACCAACTTAGACTGGAATTCACCGTTGTGATAGAAGCAATGAACAATTATTTCAGCAATTCGTTCTAGAAGGTTGTGATCTTGATATTTAGCAGTGATGTTTATGTATTGTGGCTATTTGTAAAAAATCAATCCTTGAATAAAAATGTTTTTATTACTCTACAATGTAAGGGTTCATATATATACGAATATAGGTGACTAAAATGCACAGGGACAACAACTGACACTTTATTTTTATGTGGTTATTGATGAAATTTTTTATCTTATTTATTTATTAGTATGTGGTGCTGAGAATCCAATCCAGTGCCTCATACATGGTAGGCAAGTGCTCTACCACTGAGCCACAATCCCAGCCCGCACACCAAACTCTTGAGAGTAATTCCTGGGATTTAAAATAGAATCTAACTGGGTTCTCTGGGATTTTCATATTTTGCTCTTTCCAGTTGTATAATTTGATCTTAATAATAAACATATAATTATATGTCAGTTACATGATTAGAAAAAAATCAAAGAACGCCTATTAGACTTATGTATAACTTAAATATAAATATATTTTGTGACTGATATTTTTTGTATACTATTCCTTAAAAAATACAGAAATCTTTGTTTGTTTTTTGTTTTTTTGTATCAAGAATTGAACCCAGAGGTCCTAACCAACTGACGTACATTGCTAGTCCTTTTATTTTTATTTAGAGACAGGGTTTCACTAAGTTTCTTAGGCCCTTGATAAGTTGCTGAGGCTGGCTTTGAACTCATGATCCTTCTGCCTCAGCCTCCTGAGCCTTTGGGATTACAGGCATGTGCTTGACTAGAAAACATTTTGTAGCTCCTAGAAAATATTTCAAACTTTAAAAAAGATACCCAAGAAACATTAAATACCACATGCCTCTAATTCTAAGATATTCGTTTTAAGATAAAATCAATTTAATAACAGATTTTGAAGGAAAAAAAAAAACCCAGGATATATAATCACATTGAATGCATAAAATGTAAGATGCATTTCAACATCACAAATGTTCTTAGATCATGTTGACAGTTATAACAATCCCAGTTTGAAGGATACAAAAGTATAGGTAATTGAGATAGCAAGCTCAATTCTCCCCCTTTGAAGAATAAATAAGTTCTTTTTTTTTAAAAAAAATATTTTTAGCAGTAGATGGATAGTAATGACTTTTATTTATTTATTTATTTTTATGTGGTGCTGAGAATGGAATCCAGGGCCTCACACATGCTAGGCAAGTGCTCTGCCACTGAGCCACAATCCTCGCCTTACAAATATGTCCTTGGAGATTGCTCAAGATTAGATTAACGTGCTTTGGGCAGGAATATTTACGTGGGAGAAGCCCATGAAGGGTCAACCGATGGTCCACCTCGCATGTCTGCATGAGCACAGCGTATTCCCGAGTGATGCAAGAGCTCACCTTATTTGGAAATGGAAATTTGCTTGGTTCCACTTTGCCGGGTGCTTGAACAGCAGACAGTGGTGGAAGCCAGGTCATCTCCTAAAGGGGATAAAGACAAAGAGCATTGAAGGTGAGATCAGCAGCACGTGCAGAGGCTCCGCAAGCCAGCCTCATCAGGCAGTGAAATAAGGGTTGAGAGGGTTTATTATTTTTTAAAGATGTAAAACCCACATTTAGGATCCGCTTTCATAATTTGACCAATTCTTGTTTCCATGTCTATCTCCAGGCTCCCTCTATGCCTAAAAAAGAAAAGCCCATCCTATTTTCTCTTGGTGTGAGCCCCCAAGTAAAGGGACAACCCAGTTCTATGGGAGATGCTGTACAGACTTGGACCCGAATCCACACAATTCACAGGAAGTTTCTGAAGGAAAGCACACATCAATTTTAACTTTAGGGGTCTTTAGTAGGGGAGTTATTATTAGAGATAAAGCTCCCAATAAGTTCCGCATGTCACTTTGGTGTCTATAACAAGGTCATCTATGGAGAAGTGAAAACAACAAATCCCATGCATGCAGTAGGGAATGGTGTCACTCTATCAGCCAGTATTGAGCGCCATTTGAGTCCCAGATGCAGTATCTGCAATGTGCCTTTTGTGCTCCCCTGTCACTAGCTCTGAGCGAGGGAGGGAGGGGTTGTCTTATTCATTTCCAGTATTCTCCTTCATCTCCTGGAAGACAGTTGCCATCAATAACTGATCACAGGACTCAACTGACTTGGGACGGCCAGGAAGTCCACGTGGGGCTTACAAACAGGGACTGAGCCAAGCAATCAGAGAAGCTGCAGGGCATTCCTTTATAAGGAGAGTAAAACCTGCCGTCTCCTGAGCGGAGGATATGATGTCCTCACCTCCCTTTGGTAGGTGGGTGGGGTGTGGGAAAGGATTCACTTGGGACATGAAAGGACAGTCCTGTGCCTTCTTTCTCTGGGAAGTCCCTCTCCCCAGAAGCTCAGAAGGGCAGAACCACACAGAGAGCAGAGGGAAGGTGAGCGAGTTCCAAGCTGCTCTGGGAGGATCTACAGACCCTACGCCCTCTCTTCCTGGTCATGGCACCAGCTACAGCCAACAGGGGGGGCTAAACACATACGCTTTGCAGGTGTCCCTTCTCTGGTCTTGGTCACCAAGGTTTTCCCTGGAAAGCAAAGGAGGATCCAGTGACCATTTTTGTCCCCCTCTCTTCCCATCTCTTGCTCTCCAAGTATCTGCCAGTGCCTCATGTCCCCTTGGAGGGATTTTGCAGGGTGGCCATGTTTGTACCCAGAGTGGAATCAGACTTTGTCCATGGAATCAACGAGCTAGTCATCCTCAGGGAGGGGCTGGCCTTGTAGAGGAGGAGGTCAGATTTCACTGGGATTGCTGCTACCCAAATAAGAAAGATATTTACCCCCCCTAACCTGTCCTTCCTGCAGTGTGGCTCTCTCCTGGTGCCATCTCTTCTCTTCAACAATGTTTCTGTTTCTTGTCTTTTACTGAAATTGTTGCTTAGGATATATGTGTGTTTGCTCCAAGTGGACTCGAATCTTTTGTAGAGGAGATTAGTCATCAATTACAAATGTTGATTTACAAATTACCACTTGAACTGATTTTTCCTTTCCTCTCTGTGGACTGTCGGATGTGTCCCTGAGGCCATCCCACTCACAGCCAGCCGCTCCGTAGCTTCCTTTGCAATCATTCTTTGGCTGACACAATTTAGACTGTGTGATCCTCTGGGGCCAGAATTGATAAACACTAAGTAATTACTCACGATTAAACAGTAGCCTTGCAGATACAACCCAAGTATGTCCATGTTAACTTTGCACAAATTATTTTATGATTCCATCTGTGTATCAACATGCCTCATATCTAGTCATCTTATGTTTGACGGCTATTAAAAAAAAATCACAAAAAGACAAACTGCTCTTTTATTGTGTTCTGTAGCTACTCAGAAATAAGTGGGATAGAAAGCTCACAAAAAATAGTAGTACTTTCAAAAGGACACTTCCTAGGCCTTCTTACAATTCTTTACACTTTCAGGTTGAAATTTGTTTAATATATACTCTTTATATAAAAGGGAAATAGCAGACCAGCTTTAAGAGTACACTAAGCTGTGATCCATGATGGTAGAAATGATGTCCTCCTGGTCTTTGTATCTTAATCCATCCCTGACCACCAGCTCTGCCCCTGCAGGCACAGTGCTTGTGCCTTGCATACATGAGATGCTCAACTAAGGCACCATCTATTGAGTTTGAAAGTTAGGATATCGTCCTTGGTTATGGTCATAACTAATACTTATTCTACAGCCCTAGTTATGCTTATAATCTTTCCATTTCTTCCTTCCTTCTTCTACTCTCTCCCATCCATTCATCCATCCTCATAAACAAATGCCACAGGAGGGAGATGCCACTTTTGTTTCGCTTGCTGTCCTCCTGAAAATACCCCTTCTCCTTTGAGACTCTGACCATGAGCTTCTTTATTCATTAAAGACGAACTTCATCTCTCTCCCTGCTCATCCCACCCTTTAAACCAGTCTAAGGGTACCCTCCTGCACCCCTTCCTTTGCTCACGACCTTCAAAAGATTTACCTATTGACTTTTAAGGGCAAACTTGTAGAAACCCCCAAGCATTTCATGCCACCTTCTCAAACTGTTCTTCTATCTGCACTCCACCTCAATTTTTTACAGCCCTGACCTTTGGATTTTTGTCTTCAAGAGCCAGAATCTGGGTTCTTCCCAGTGTAACCTGAGCTGGCTCATTTGATGGCCTCTCCAATTCCTATTTATCTAGATCATCCAGGAATCTGGCACTGAATTGATCCTGAAGTCCCATGTCCAATACTGACCACCTAACTGACCTCTTTGCTGGCTTTCCCAAGACCCTCCAGCGTGGTGGGAATCACTCGTAGGCCTAGTCCACACTCCCCCAAGTCTCTAGCTTGGGATCAAGCCCTCATCTGGCTCCTCTGCTCAGGAAGGCTGCTGTGCACTGTGGTGGTCACATGGATTTGTGACATTGACTTCCCAAGGAGGCTCTCTGTGTGGCTAGGTAATCCTTGTATTTGCTCACCATCTGTCCTTTCTTCCAAGTTCCTAGACAATATTCCTACATTTTGTGATCCTCCTTGAGCCTCACTTTGATTCTTGTTCTCTCACTACAGGTGCCCTTGCCTCTTATATTATTGAAAAAGAAATAAAACAAAACGGATATTCAGAAGTTTCAGTATTCCCCAAGGACAGATCTGTTGGCATTCATGGTATTCATTCCCCACCCCCTTCCTTCCCTCTGACCTGACTAAGGAGGGACCAGTCCCAGGCAGTCCCAGGTGATCCCCACCCATGGCCTCCATCTTGTCTGTTCCTCTGTCCTGAGATCTGGTTCCCTCGACACCCCACTGATTTTCTTGTAACTTCAACCTTTCTTCTCCACTGGCTTCTTCCCCGTGAATGACACCCGGAGGCCTCAGCCCTTCCTGATCCTGTATCCCTCCTCTAACTACCCTTTATTTCTCCATTTCATGTTAATAGCCAACTTTCTCAAAGTGTACCAAGGACTTAGAGGCTCCTTTTTCTAAAAACATCACCTCTTGACTTGACCCTGTAAATGTCCAATGGGTAAAAAAGCCAGATAAAGCACTTGGCATCTCTGCTTCCATTTTGCACCTGTCTCCTTTGTTCTTAGTCACCTTGGATTCTAGGAACAACAGGTCTGAGTGATATGCATCTTGTGAAAAGGTGAAACTATCCCCCAGGTGACAGTGACTTTCTTGTCCCAGACAAGGCCTGGCTGAACAATCCTGAGATAGTCATCCACAGAACAGTTGGACCAAGACCACTTGCCTCTGTATATTTCTGGTCCCCTTGGTCTATATAGACCAGGAAGCTCACATTAGCATCCCCAGAGACAGGCTGCAAACGCGTGTCCCTTTGTTTTTCTGACATACATAGACATATATACGGTTTTTCACCATTACTTTTCCTTTTGTTTTTTGGGGTAGGTGGCTGGACCTGATTGGTTGGGATCTTCAGAATTCCTGGGCCTAGGTCTCTGGTGACAAAAGAACGTTTTCTATCTGTTGTTTTGATACCTGCATAGATTCTTTCCCCTTTCCTTCCTTCCTTTCTTCCTTCCTTCTTTCCCTCCCTCCCTCCCTCCTTCCTTCCTTTCTGTCTTTTCTGACTTATTATGTAAAAAAATGTTTTGCTGTAAGTTATGCACATAATTTGTCTATAACACTGTGTGTATAAAGTTTAAGAATGATGAAATGGATACCCGTGAATTCACGGCCCACCTTCACATGATTAAGACCTTCTCATCCATTTTTCAAAGGAACCGGCTCTGAGGGAGGTCCTCCTGATTGCCCAGTCCTTGAGATCCCCTGAATGCTCCGGCAATGTCTATCCCAGCTCCTGTGATGTCAAGTCTCCTCGCATCCCCACCTCTGGCCTTTCTCCCCCACCCCACCCTTTCTTTGCTGCACAGTCTTCTCCCTCACTGTTTGGATGTTTTGTGTCCAGCCTCTTTCCTGCTCCCTTTCCTTTTCCTGCTGATCTTGAATACCACTGTGGCTTTAGAAATCATTTAGCATGAGTGTGATGCTCAAGTACATCCAGCTCCACTGCCCACCCAGGGGCCTACTAAACCCCTCAACCCAGGTATTCTTTAATCGGTTCAAACTCTAGAGCTTTAAAACAGAACACTAATCCCCCCCGCCCCCACCCCACCAAATTTCCTCTTCTTGTATTGTATTGTCCTGGTTAATGGCACCAATGTCTATTAACTCTTCCAGTCAGAATCCTTGCAGTCCCCCTAGACTCCTTCCCCTTCGTCACTCCTTCCCCCAGGAGTAATAGTTCATATTGATTAAGTGCTTAGAATATAAAATGTTTTACACAATTTATTTAACATCAGTTCCTAATGACCCTAAAGGTAGACTTATTATTTCCTCACTTAAGAGGTGAAGAAACCAAGTCCCTAAGAGGTTAAGTGCTTGGCTGCAGCTGAGACCTCCCTTGCTCTAGTCAAGGCCTGGTTCTCGCCTCACTCTGCTCCTCAGCCCGGGTTCCCT